CCTTAGACCACACTTCGAGTAGCATCACTTTCAAGCATTATGTGTAACTATGCCCAAAAGGCTGTTAACCGTATGCATGGCTATACACACATACACACACATACACACACAACACACACATATGTATATTTCACCCTGACCTCTGCTATAATCACTTTTGATCCACAAGCCTGGAAATTAATTGTTACTGTAAAAGGACTTAACACAAACAGAAAGAGCGTTCAATCTACAAAAGTCTGCCGAGTAAGCGCTAGGTAATTTCACTCTGAAGTGAGATGAGGTAAAGTCAGAGGCTTCTCAAAGAATGTTACGTTTGAGCTAGATTTTGAAGGTAGATTAGTAGTTTGCCAGATGGAGGATGTGTGTGTGGGGTAGCTGGGAAAGGAAATTCCAGGCAGGAGGAAAGACATTTAGAAGTGAGGGGACTGTAAACCACGTGGGGTGGGAGGACAATGATGAAAGGTAAAGTTAAGCGGACAATTCTTTTATGATCAAGGAGTTTGGATTTTGTCTTGCAAGTATTTGGAAATCACCTAAGAACTAGAAGATGATATAAATCTTAATTCACCTAATTTACTAATATTTTCTCTTCCATTCTCAATGCAATGTCCCCCCTTGGCAACCCCCCCTTGGCAATCTAACAATCAGAATTACATTCCTGGAATTCAAGGATAATATTATGAATATTCCATCTCTTTTTAATAACACATTTGAAATTTTGTTTCTAGGGGTTTATTTTTTTAATTCATTTAGCAAAACGTTATGGCCCTATCTGCTTTCCCATCGTAATCATCTTCAAATTAATAATGTAACAGCACATGTTTCAACCTAGCAATGTCAATAAATATAAATAAGTCTTTATCAACATCCATAGTATAACAGTTTATGAGCCTCAAATATCGGGTGGCTAAGGTTTGAGGCCTCTAAGACACGGTAAAACACAATTCACAAAGACATCGCAGTTAAAAGTTAAAAAAAATCTCACTTCATGACTTTTTAAATTTCTCTTATTGTTAAAAATATTTTTTTGAAAGTTCTCTTTTCAATAATGGAGAACTTCAAGGTAGGTTCTCATAGCCTGTCTATATTTGATGCTTGGCAGGTTAGAATATTGTTATTTGGTAATATTCATTTCAAAAATGCTTCTGCAAAATTTTTTATGCCAGTGGGTAGAGAAATCTTAAGGTTAATAATTTGCTCAGGGCATTTTATCTTCTGGCCATTGCTGCCCCCTAAATTCTATAGCTTCCAAGATTTCTCAAAAAAGACTTTTAAATATGTATGTGTATATGTGTGTGTGTGTGTGTGTGTGTGTGTATGCATATATATCATATATATCAATTCCCTTGTTTAAATAAATGTACAGTATATATGCATATACTCATTATATATATTCAAAACATATACATTTGATACATATATTTAAACAAAGGAATTTGGAAAACCAGACCTTTTTCGGTATGTTATTATAGGTATGTAATTGTTTTAGGGAGGGCAAGCTAAAGATAGAGATTACCTCTTTCAACAAAGAAAGAGTTCCTGGAACTTGGCTCTAGAAAGTTATTATTTAACATTTTATTTTTGGGATCTAGAGAAAGAAAACCCCAATAAAAATCTATTGCTGTGGGGATGACACTATGCTTTTCTTAGTAGTGAAATACAGCTTTGATGGATTTAAACTGCCAATAGGTCTCTTGCAATTGAGTGACAAAACAAATAATAGTAATAATAATTTTTCAAAAAGCCAGAAAAAGGAACACAAAGCTTCACTGTTGGCAATTGCATGTTAACACATATGACCTACATCTTGTTCAGGAGGTGATGGAAGCCAGACTTTGGTGATGACTCACAAGGGGGACCTGGGCTGTAGTGGGGAGATGGTCCAATGACAAGCTGTAATCAGCAAGAACCATTTTTGAAACACAGTTCCTCTCCATGAGCAAATCTTCTTTTCATTGTTCTTGGAGTATAGTTGAAAGTTCTGCAGCCAAACTGCCATGGGATTAAAAGGGAACAGGGCTGATGAAAATTAAGCCCAGTTGATTAAACACTCTGAACTCTGAGTCTGACAAGTGATCAGGTTTTACAGCTGGTAACTGGGCTTTGGCTAATAGAGATGCTAAGCAATAATGATAGCTGTAGCTAACGTAGATTTAATATTTATTTATGTACCATACACTGTTTTAAGCCTTTTCCATGCATTAATTTATTTAATCTTCACAACAGCTCTCTGAGGTAGATAACATTATTATTCTTATCTTATACATAAGGAAAGTGAGTGACAGAAATGTTAAAAAAAAAAAAAAGTCCAGTGTCTTGTAGCTAGTAAGTCAGGGAGTCAGACTTCAAACTCAGGAAGCAGACTGCTACCGCTAACAATTAAATGCACCCAAAGAAGTATGTGTTAAACATGAACACTATAGAAACGTGAACAACCTAAAGAGAAGCCGTTATCGTATTCTAGACTATTAGAACCGGTATACTATGTACCCTAAAAGAATCAGTTTTAGGAAACAATAAAGAGAATACTGCTTTAGAAACTAGAAAGTATGACTCATGAAAGTCATTATTCAAAACAGCATAAAAGGTAGATTCTACAATTCTTTACAGCAGGAAATTTAAGATATTTCTAGATTTGCCTTTTGTGAGAAATTTGTACTATTGCCAGTGATAAACTCATATGTTAGCATGACCATCCCATTTGAATGGATGAATATACCTTGAATCTTTAAAATGGCAAGAGAGAAAATATCCTATAGCGAAGAATGATTTTATGTATATAAATATATACTTTTGAAATCTCACAGGAAATTTTCTTACACATAGAATTTTGGGGGCCCAGTGATTGTATTTACTCTTTGGTTTTTCATCTAGAGAAAGAATTTAGACTCCTTCTAATGTGATGGCAGCAGCTGTCTGCAGACATTTCATGACTCAGCTTTTCCCTGGTGTGATTTTTATGGCTTCACCAAAGTCACCAAAATCAGAAGCTTATAAGAGCAGACAGTTGAAAAGTACTTGTGCTCAGTGAGGCAATGACATTTGTTGAGTGCCCTCTGTGTACAGAGTTGTGTGCCAGGATGAGTTACATATTCCTACATGCTGTCTTTATAGGGTAAGGAAGACATTTTATTTTTCATTTCTCTTGGCCAATTGTGACCCCCTGTGTGTTTGAGCCATTTCCTCCAATACTGATTAGTAGAAACTGCTGCTAATAAAAACTAAACTGAATAGATTGAGTAAAATACTACTGCCTTAAAGCCAAATGATTTTCAAATATGTATTTGTAGATATCTCTTTGCCTGTATTCTTTTTCCGCTATTGATTTTGGAGACAATTGGGAGTCTCGTAAATTCCATAATTTTTTGCTTCCTCCGGATTAGTAAATACAAGCACCCTAGCTGGGAGTGGGGATGGAGAGAAACAAGTGTTGGGGAAAATGGTATCAGTTCTCTCTTAAGGTAATAACATTGCATATCAAGACAAAATCTTAGTAGCATGAAACGATAAAGATTTCTTCAGCTCACACATTGGTGGGATGGTCTTGACCGATCTCACCTGGGCTTATACATTTTTCTGTGGTCAACTGCATGTTATCTAGGTACCCCTGCTGATCTTAGATGGGCTCGCTGACAAGTCTGAGTGGTGGCTGGCCATTAGATGATCTAGTTTGGCCTTGACTGAGATACACATCTACATTTGTATCTCATCCTCTAGCAGGCTAGGCTGGGCATATTCATGTAGCCAGGCAGAGAAGCAAAAGAAACAAGCCTCAATGCTTAAAACCATTTCAAGTTTCTGCTTATGTCTCATTTGCTAATATCCCACTGGCCAAAGCAATTCACATGAGATGAGACCAAGAGTCAGGGTGAAAGGGCTCAATAATACTACATGGCAAAAGGCAAGGATCTAGGGAGGGGTAAAGAATTAGGACCATTGATACAATTAATCTTTAGCAGAACACATTTTCCCAGGGGCTGGAGGGTGGGGGTTCATTTTGTTTTTCAAATTGTAGACTTACAAATTAGTATTTGATTTATTCAAGCAAATGAACTAACAAAAATCTCTCCCAGCTATGTTAATGCACTGATCAAGTCTGTTATGCCAATATGGCTTTCTTTTTATTCATTCATTTTAACTATGCTTGTGGCAATAACAAGTACCAATTTTTCCAGTCAAGTCGTGATGTGGAGGGGGCATCAATTCTCAAAGAATAATTTTTGCCCTCTTGTGTTTTAAAAGACTGTCATTTTGCAATGGCATTGTTGGAAGAGGAGTTCTGTCATACTGTAGTTTTGGCCACTTTCTCTTACGAAATAAATTTACATAAGTCACCTAGGATCATCACACTCCCCCCTAGTCCATGATTCATTTGTTAGGGCTGTATCTTTTGGCTAAATTTTGTCATGTGAGTTCGCTTAATATTCAAATAATTACTCTCCCTGAGATTCTGACAAAATTTTACTGGAAAATTAGAGTGAAAGGGGTTGGATGGACAGTCAAGTTCTAGCCTTTTTGAAATTGCAAAGGATTAATGAGAATAAAAAGCTAATTTGGTTGCAATTAGCAAAATAGCTCCCTTTTTAGAAAGAAGCTCCTAAGCATCTCTGTCCAAAATAGAATCCTACAGTTTCTACAGTGAATATAGTTGCTTTGAGGAAGAAATATTTATCCACAAACAAATACTGGTTATGAATATGTTTCTATCATAACTGGGAGAGGTCGATTCTTGACTCTTCTAAGGCAAATTCACATTCTGCTTCAACTGATTGTGTTTTCAACAGTATTTGTTATATTCTTTTATGGTCTGCCAGGACCTTCTTGAAGCCCAGTTAGTTAGAACAGTGGCCAACAGAGTTAAGAGGAAACGGGGTCCAAATATCTCTCCAGAAGCAAGACTACTTCAAAAGATATGCATTACAAAGCACTACTGTGACTCAAATAATCACTTGTTTTTAAGGGGGATTTGCTAATGTAGAATTGGTTTCTTATCTTCCCAGCCCCTAGTGAGCCTTTACTGTGCAAATTCGCTGATGGAGGACAAAAGAAGCGACAGAATCAAAGCAAATACACCCAGAATGGAAGGCCTTGGCCCAGGGAAGGAGAGGTGAGTCCTGACTGACTTTTGCTCAGAAATTTGGCAGCAGACATCCCTCTGAAGGGCGGCAAGGCAGACATTTGGGGCCATGATGAAATCACGTCCTGTGGAAAACCAAATGGCTTCAAAGGGGGCAAATGAGCAGCCCTCTATTAATGTGCTCAAAATAAAATTACTCAAGGAGGAGTATAGGACTTCAAAATGGACCTCAGTTCTGCACTACAGTAAGTCTTCTGCCTTTAACAAAACTTGAACCCGATAGGCACTCACAGACTTATCCACAAAGATTTGATCTGTAATTGTATAATAGTTATAAAATGAGGGTATAATTACTTAAGAAAATATTTGCAGCAAAATCAATAGTGAGAGTTGAACGTTTGTGTTTTGAAAAGGAAACAAACAAAGATTTAAATTTATTTCATTCCACCATTGAGATGCTCCACTTGCACACGTGTGTGTGTTTATGCATATGCCCACATGTTCATAAATGTGTTGATATATATTTTATATATGTATACATCAATCTAAAATGTGATATTTTCTGTTGGCCAAGAAGGAGGAAAAAAAGTTGATACACATAAAGTTTTCTTTTCACAACAAGGGGAAGAGCATGTGACAGTTTATCATCCATTTACCCTCCTAAGACAAAACAGTAGAAAAGCAAGCTTAAGGATCCAATGCCACATGGGAATGGATTCCTGTTGGTTATTTTTGTTGTAAGAAGACAAGGACAGGTGTCTGGGCTTCTAAGAGGTCTTTTCGTACTTTGAGAAATGGAATGGAGTTGTTTGAATGACTTGAATAAATGCCATCTTGCACCAAGGCCATAATTTCAACATAAGAGCTTTATTTAGTATTTCTATTCAAAGCACCTACTTCATCCATTTATCGTTTAAGAGGCATCCTACTTGATGCAGCATTTTACATTTTCAACACTGAGAGAACAGTTGTAGGGAAAGAAAGGAGGCTGGGATTTTTCTCAGCAAAACCTTTAGCCAGTTTTCAGTTTTTAAGACTGTCATATGTTTTCGGGCCGGCCCCGTGGCTTAGTGGCTAAGTATGCACGCTCCGCTACTCGCGGCCCGGGTTCGGATCCCAGGCGCCCACCGACACACCGCTTGTCAGGCCATGCTGAGGCCGCGTCCCACATACAGCAACTAGAAGGATGTGCAACTATGACATACAACTATCTACTGGGGCTTTGGAGGAAAAAAAAGGAGGAGGATTGGCAATAGATGTTAGCTCAGGGCCGGTCTTCCTCAGCAAAAAGAGGCGGCTTAGCACGGATGTTAGCTCAGGGCTGATCTTCCTAACAAAAAAAAAAAGAATTCAAAAAAAAAAAAAAGACTGTCATCTGTTTTGAGTATTTCCATGCAGGTCTCAAAACCCCTGTTAAAGTGTATAGTTATGTTCAAGTACTGTGTAATCTATAACTCATTACCTTAAGACATGAAGAAGAGAATCACCATTGAGCACTTGAAACTGATTAGAAAAGGCAAGAGTTTCAATATTCTCAACCTTTAGAAAGGCAGTTTATGCTATGTTCAAAAAAGGGGACGAGGAGGGAACGACCCCTGTGTTTTTAGCGTGCAGTTTAGTGATCAGCAGGTGCCCCCCTGCCCCCAGAAGACAGCTATTTCTGATAATGTTTGTTATCCCATACCAAACATCCGTAGTCTAGACAGACTCATTTGATCTTTTAAAATTTGGTTGGTCAGCTGCCCGCTGATTAGAGAGATTTCTGGATCACAGACCACAACCCAAAAGCCTCAACACTCAATTACGTAATCTGGCACTAACGGCTGAACCTTTAGTTCCTGTCTCCTTAAGAATCTGTATTATTACATTCACAAAATAGACGCCACTTGCAGCACGACAGCTCACCTGAGTCTACATTTCTTAGAAACCAAACCAATAAACATAAGGGAAATGTAGAGTTAGAGCTGCCACCGCGCTGCTGTGTACGGAATCCAGAGCTTTGGGTTTAGAGCGTGGTCAAGACCATGGGTACCACGGGCCTGGAAGCGTCATGGATATGGAGTCAAGTTTAGCACCCAGAGCATCTTATAATTTCAATGTAGGTTTTAAAGGTATATTTCTAATCTTTGTTTTCAAAAGTTACTTTTTAAGAGCTATAGATTTTCCTGTTGAACTGTGAAAATCGAGTGACACTGATAAATTTACCTCTGTTAAATAATAATAGAAATTGGGCCCGCCTTGTGGCTTAGTGGTTAAGTGCGCGCGCTCTGCTACCGGCGGCCCAGGTTCGGATCCCGGGCGCGCACCGACACACCACTTCTCCGGCCATGCTGAGGCCGTGTCCCACATACAGCAACTAGAAGGATGTACAACTATGACGTACAACTATCTACTGGGGCTTTGGGGAAAAAAAGGAGGAGGATTGGCAATAGATGTTAGCTTAGAGCCAGTCTTCCTCAGCAAAAAGAGGAGGATTAGCATGGATATTAGCTCAGGGCTGATCTTCCTCACACAAAAAAAATAAAAATAAATAATAATAGAAATATATTCCAAGTATACAGGTACATTCTGAGAAAAGAAATCAGAAAAAGAAATGTCCTGCACTAAAAATATAGTTATCAAATATCTTGGTTTTGAGATGAGCATGTTAATTTTTACAACTGGATTATGGTCTTAGAAGTAGATACACCAAGAATGTTGGATAACTTTGTGTGCCCATTGACGGGTCAAAACTTTGTTTATGACTCATTTTACAATTTCCAATTCTTTCCATGAGACTTCATTCAGTCTTGCATTACACAATTGCCTCTGGCTGGGAGCAAAGGAATTTACCTCAAGAGGTAATCAATGACCTTACTCTCCTGCCTATGTGTTCCTTGAGGCAAACTTTACCTTGGAATGCAAGGACACATCTCATTCATATGCCCCCATACCCTAATCTTTGAGGCTAACCAGACCACCTAATACTTTCTCTTTTGACATTTCTATAGAATACTAAAAATAGCTAAACTGGTATATAATGGCCCCGCACAGGCACTTCCATGCAGCAGCTCTCGACTGCCCCTGGGTCCTGTCCCCATGCTGAACACAAAATAAAGGTGCACAAACGAACGAGCGGCTCATGTCTGAAAATTCTTTTTCGACTCAAGACTCAGTGGCCCCACATCACCCATCATTATATATCTTTCATTTCTGTTTCCCCTTGCATTGTACTTGCTACAGTAAATTAAAGTATATTAGTATGGCTGATGAAATATGATATCATACAAATTAATACTATGTAAGTAGTATTTAACTAATTTTTATCTATCAGTAAATTTTAATTACTGTATTTCATTGATTCTAAGACACACGTTTTTGTTGTTGTTTTTCCGCGTTTTAACACTTCTGAAATTGGTTCTCCTCCTGTAATCAATGGCGTTATAACAACACAATTTGCATTTGCTCCTGTTAGTCACCTGGGGGCACTACCTGCATTCTTTGCTTAAGGTCATTGACTGCATGGATTGCATGAGTTGAGATTCTAACCAAAGCCAGGACTGTGGGTCAGATTCTCAGGGAAATTTTTTTTTGTCCCTTTCCTCTATCCATGGTCAAGATTGAGACAGCAACTTTCCTGGAAGTCCGTTTCTGGTGGGTGGTTTTGCTTTTCATTTACCTTTACACAAAAGGTATAGCTGTTTGGCAGTACAACTTTTTAAGATCATTTTGAGTGTATGTTTTTGCTTGTTTGTTTTGTCGTACAATAAATGATATTTTTAAAAAGATCATTTTGAATGTTTGTTTTTGCTTGCTTGTTTGCTTTATCGTACAATATAATAGTATACCTTCCAATCATTGTTCCCTTAAAATGAAAGATGAGGGGCCGGCCTGGTGGCGCAAGAGGTCAAGTGCGTGCACTCTGCTGCGGTGGCCCAGGGTTCGCAGGTTCGGATCCCGGGAGTGCACTGACGCCCCACTTGTGATGCCATGCTGTGGCAGCGTCCCATATAAAGTAGAAGAAAGTAGGCACAGATGTTAGCCCAGGGCCAATCTTCCTCAGCAAAAAAAAAAAAAAAAAAGAGGAGGATCAGCATCAGATGTTAGCTCAGGGCTGATCTCCCTCAAAAAAAAAAAAAAAAAGGAAGATGATAATTTAGATTCTGATGCTTCAGAATTTGAGATACTGGCACAGATTGTGGCTAATGTTTACTTTTCCTCTTTCTTGAAAATCAGGTAAAAAATGATAGTGTGAAAAGGATTTCTGATGAAATGCTTAAGATACAAAACCAGTGGATTGCAAGCATCTTAGAAGTACCTTCAACATGACAATTGATAGGCTAATTAAAATTTTAATTTCCTATGTAAAGCTGTTTTCTTCTGGGTGACATTTTGATAACAGTTCTTTTAGCATAGTTCGGTGAAATGCATTTCTTTACCAAAAAAATCTAATACTGAAAACTTTATACACATAAATTAGTGTAAATTAGCAAGGTTTTGAAATATAAATATATGCTGGTAGACATGTTTTTGCATAAGTGAAAAGCACAGGGATATTTTAAAGTTATTAACTAATCTCTCAAGTGACAACTGCAACTCTGAGCAGAATGATTGGCGATAGAGGCTATTAGCCCTCTCTTTCCTGGTGTTCTACAGGTCTTATCGTTTTATTTCTTAATGCAGCAGTTCTCAAACTCTTTGGTCTCGGGATCCCTTTATACTGTCAATAATTATTATTTATTAGATCATTAAAAAAAACCATTGCACATTAACAAAAATAGTATTTTTTACAGAAAATACTATATTTTTCAAAGCAAAGGTAATTTGTTTTTTGGAGAAGAATGGCACTGTTTTTGCAAATCACTTTAATGTCTGGCTTAGCAAAAGATAACCGGATTTCCATGCCTGTTTCTGCATTCAGCCTATTGCAATATGCTGTTTGGTTTAAGCATATGAAGAAAATTAGCTTAACATGGATGTGTCATTGAAAAAGGAGGACCTATGGATCTCCTCAAAGGATCTCAGGAACACTTAGGTGTCCTTAGGCCACA